AAACTCGCAATCTAACCTAAGGCTTTTTTGCGGCCACTCCTGAAGGGTTCTGACCCAGCCTGGTCAGTGACCTGGAGCACTTTGGCCTCAGATGGTACAGGCTTTGCTCATTCAGCAAATGAGAACAAGGATGGGCGGTGCATTGTTGTCCACCTGACTCTCTGCAGATGGGCCCTGGCGATGCAGACTGACTTCCTTGTGAGCTGCCCAGACCCCAGTCTGACTGTGGGACTTTTAGCCATTCCCAGGTATGGCTTCAACACTGCCTCACTGATAAAAGTACCCCTCCCGGTCCAGTCCCCTCTCTAAGCTGAGGTCAGTTCAGGGAGGTATGAACGAAAACCAGCACCTCCAATTATTCATTCCTCTTGGTTGTGGGAAATCATCTGAGATGACACCATCATTTACATACTTTTATTTCTTTAAAGGTTTTATTTAATTTTAGAGAGAGCAGATGGGAGGGAGAAGGTAAGGGAGAGAAACATCAATATGTGGTTGCCTGCCACGTGCCCCCTGCTGGGGACCGGGACCACAACCCAGGCATGTGCCCTGACTGGGAATCAACCCAGTGACCCTTTGGTTCGCAGGCTGGCACTCAACCCACTGAACCACACCAGCCAGGGCCCTGCTTTCAATTCTTCGGGGAGAACATTTAGAAGTGGCATTGCTGGCTCACATGGTAATTCTAAGTGAAACTTTCTGAGGAATTGCCAAACTATCCCTTTTCATTATTTCCTTCATTTTGGTTGAAAATTGCCTACATCATGAACGTACAGTTCATCAGCTCATCTCACACCAGCACACCCGTGTAAACTCTCGCCCGTGTCGGAATTACGACCAGGTCCCTCCAGAAGGTCCCTTTCAGTCGCTTCTAACACCAGAGATTAGTTTTGTCCACTTTGGAACTTCATAGAAATAAAACCATACTTTACTGATTCTTCTGTTATTAGATCCACTCACTCTCGTGTTCTTCACTTGTGTGGTGAGACTCACACATGTTGCTGTCCGGAGCAGCAGTTCACGGGCGTACAAACACACCACCGTTTACTTGTCTGCTCCACTATCAATGGCTTATTGGGGTCGTTTCCAGTTTGGGGCTAAAATGAGTAGGGCTGTCATGAGTGTTCCTTGCACGTGTTTTCTACACAAACGCCCAGATTCCTGCTGGGCACATACCCATCCTCACGTCATAGGGCTTGTGGACACTCAACATCCCGCCAATGGGAACAGGTTTCCCAGGTGGCTGGGACGCCCACGAACAGTGGATGAGCGAGCGCTCAGGTGTTTTGCAGCTTTGATGACACTTGCTGTCATCAGCCTTTAAAATGTTTGCCATCAGGATGTGGGTGACTGTGGTGACACCTTGCTGTGGTTTTAATGTTCATTTCTTTGGTCGCTAAAGGGTTAAACCTTCTCAGATGTTAATTGGTCATCTGGGTATCTTCTCTTGTAAGTGCCTCAACTCTCTGCCTGTTTGTCTGTGAGCAGTTGGATGATTTTCTTATTGACTCTTAGGAGCTCTTTATATATTCTGAACATGAATCATTTGTTGGTTCTGTGTATCCCTATCTTCCTACTTATTGATGTCTATCATTTCTCTCAATAACCTTTTATTAGAATTATCTGAGGGTATTTGATGTTTTCTGCTGCTGTTATAAATGTTATAACCTTTTAAGAATAGAATTTTATTTTAAAATAGTCTCAGATTTACATAAAAGTTACAAAAATAGTGCAGACAGTTGCTGTGGTGGTATTATTTTTAAAATTAAAAAAATTTAAATTTCACTGTATAATCGTCTATTGCTGTTATATAAATACATAATTGTATTTTGTACAGTGTCCTTATAGATATCAACTTTGTATACTTACTTACTAATTGTAATAACTTATCTATTGATCTTTCTGGATTTTCCTTGTGTTCAGTTATCTGTGAACAAGACAGTTTTGTTTCTTCCTTTCAAATCCCTAAAACTCTCCCCTTTACTGCACTGCCTTGAACTTCCAGGAAAATAGTAATATAAGTCATGGCAGCAAGATCCTAATCTCTTTGGCACTCTTGGGGAAAACTTGCAATAGTTAACCATTAAGTATGATGTTTGCTCTAGAATTTTCTGGTAGACATTCGTTATCAGATTTAAAATGTCTGCTGTTGCCCTGGCCTGTATGGCTCAGTAAGCTGGAGCACCGTCCCCAACAGCAAAAGGTTGCGGGTTCAATTCCTGGTTAGGGCACATGTGGATGGGTCCTAGTCAGGTCGCTTACCAGAGGCAACTGGTATTTCCTTCCCTCCCTCCCTCCCTCCCTTTCCTTCTCTCTAGATTAATGGGCATGTCCTCAGGTGAGAATTAAAAAAATTCTGCTCTTTTCCATAGCTAAAAACTTTCTTTAAAGATCATAATTGGGTTTTGAGTTTCTTTTCTGGGTGGTGAATTGTATCCGCTAATTTTTCTGCCTATGTTAAAACACTTTCAGTATGCTTTTATCCTTTATTCTTGTTACGTTAATTCTCACATGTTGAACCAACCTTCATTCCTGGGGCAAACCCAACCTCTGGTGATATATTCTCCTGTTGACATATCTCTGCTTTGGGGCTTCTGATGCTTTCAAAGGAATTCTAAAAAATAAAAATAAAAGTAATTTTTCCAGCATTTCAAGTTTTCTCAGGGGAAGGTTTGGTGTGAAATAAGCTGGCTGCCTGTGCTGCAGGGGAAACACCGTGCGTGTGTTAGCTTTTGGTGTCTTTGTTGTTTGTGGCGCCCTTTTCACTGTGGATCAATGTTGCAGACGTGTGTGTGTTCTTTAATACTCAGGGTAATACATTCATTTATTTATTAGGATTTGATTTATTCATTTTTAGTGAGAGAGAAAGAGAAGGTGAAAGACACCAATGTGTGGTTGCCTCTCACACGCACCCCCCCTGGCAACCTGGCCTGCAAACCAGGCCCATGCCCTGACTGGGGATCCAACTGGCCACCCCCCGGATTGCAGCCCACGCTCAATCCACTGAGCTACACCAGCCAGGTCAGGATCTACGTCTCTGCTGCAGAGGTTCCCCCTACACCCCAGACTGTGACCCAAGCTGACTTCCCTCTCCAGCAATGCACGTTCCTGGGGTGGAGGCCCCGCCCACACCAGGAATACTGACTACACTGGGCCTTTGACCCCCTTCCCCCAGAGCTATGCACACTTTTCAGGTCACTCACTGGGTTGCTGTTCCAGTCCAACCAGCTGACTCTGGTTCTACCATTGGGGTCATTAACAGCTCAGAGAAGGGGGTGTTTCATGTTGAAGGGTGTTTGTTGGTTTCTGTCCTGAAAGAGCTACATTTAACACCAGTCATTGCAGATGCCACTCTCCACGGTCCCGCCCACTCAGACTCAGAGTCACTGGGCCTGGGCCTGAGGAGGAATGCGGATGGGATATTCAAGTAGAACCTGCAGGCATGTCGTGACTGTTTCTGGTGTTACAATTTTCATCGTCCGTGAGCTCATGGCCGCGGGCAAAAGGTACCGGGAGTCACAGGAGACCACCATCACCCAGCTAGAACTGGCAGGGCGTTTCATTAACAAGGACCAACATGATGCCTCAGTGATAAAGAAGCCGCCAGACACCACCTCAGCATGATCTTACATTAAACCTGGACTTCTGCCCTGGCTGGTGTGGCTCAGTGGATTGATTGGGCATGGGCCTGGTAACCCAAAGGGTTACTGGTTCAATTCCCAGTCAGGGCACACGCCTGGGTTGCAGGCCGGGCCCCCACGTGGGACTTGAGGGCAACAATCACACAATGATGTTTTCTCCCCCTCTCCCTCCCTTCCCCTGTCTGTAAAAATAAGTAAATACAAATCTTAACCCCCCCCTCCACAAAACCCTGGACTTCTTTGGGTCTTTTGTCTTTTTTATTTAAGGTCTTGAGGATGTTTAAATAGAAATAAATTCTGGCTTTATAAACTTTTTCGAAAGATTTTATTTATTTATTTATCTTTAGAGGGGAAGGGAAGGAGAGAAGGAGAGAAACATCAATGTATGGTTGCCTCTCATGGGTCCCCTGCTGTGAACTAATTTGCAACCCAGGCATGTGCCCTGACTAGGAATCGAACCAAGATCCTTTGGTTCTTAGGCCCATGATCAATCCACTGAGCTACACCAGCCAGGAAAAACCTTTCTAAGAAAAGAGCTCAGAAAAGTTCCGGGCCTTTGTAGACAGGCTGCTGTCCACCTTTATTCCTGGTGTGTTTCCTTTTCAAATTTGTATTTATTGATTTTAGAGACGGGGGGGAAAGGGTGAGAGAGACAGAGAGAAGAATTGACCACTTACTGATGCACTGGTTGATTCTTGTATGTGCCCTGACTGGGGACTGAACCCACAACCTGGGCATATCAGGACATTGCTCCAAACACTTAAGCTACCAGGACAGCCCCTGGTGTTTTTCTGGATATAGCTCATTTGTTACTATTTAATACTCTAAACCCAACTGTCGGCCACTCACGATTTAATTTAGCTTGGTGGTTCTCTCTGTTCTGCAGTTGGCTGAATAAATAAGCCCGCCCACCCCACCCCAAAGACCACAACCTGATCCCCCATACCTGTGAACATTACGAAAGTGACTTACAGAGGTGATTAGAGGATCTGGAGGTGGGGAGATTATTCTGGGTTGTCTGGGTGGGCCCCGAATGCAATCACAAGGACCCTCTGTAATCACAGAGGGAGGCATGAAGGTTGATGGATGAAGTAGATGTGAGGGCCAGCAAGAGGCTGCAGTGATCCAGGCCGGGCTGTGAGCCCAGGTGGGCGGGGGCTACAGGTCTGGGAAAGACAAGGGGGTGGGTTCCCCCTGGAGACGCCAGAAGGAGTCAGCCCTGCCCATGCCTTGGCTGCAGTCCAGGAGACTGATTTGGGATTTCTGGTCCCCAGGTCTGTGAGAAAATAGGCTTGTCTTGTTTTTAAGTACCGACTTTGTGGCAACTTATTACAGAGGTGACAGGGAATTAATACAGCCCTCCACTTGCATAACCAGGGAAGAGTTAGCATGCAGCATAGATTTGGAATTTCGTATTGGCCAAGTGAGGGTGGGGCTGAAGGACACACAACCTGCCCTACAAAAGTGAACCAGGGATGGAGTACGGGAGAGGGACATAAGCAAGACCCTGGCCTGCTCCAAGGAGCAGCCGTGCAGCCAGCAGGAGACAGAAGACCACGTGCAGCCAGCCCCAAGGACGGGTCCTTTGGTGAGTTTGCACAGAGAAGGGGCGTGGGCTGTTGAAGGCAGGCAGAGCTGTACACAGTTTTAGGCATTTGGTTCTTGTTTGCTAATACCTAATCTAATACCAGAGAGGAGAATTTCTACCAGGGATTTGAACTGGGTATTTTTCATGGGGGTTACTGAAAGAAGGGTGGATATGATGAGGTCCCCCAATAAGGCTGGGGAATTTGTTGACACCAGGGAGGTCGATGCGAGAAAGCCTGGGTGTCCCTGCTGAAGTGAGGCCGGATGCGGCTGAATATCCTTCAGGGAAGCTGCTTAATGTGACAACTAGTTATGCTGCTGCTCCCCTTTCAGGGATGTAACTAAAAGTCAGAAAGGGAATAAAAATTCTGAGTAGTGAAAAAGGATGTTTATGCTTCTGTGTACGTACTTGGGTTTTATTTATTTGTTTAAAATGTTGCACTTATTAAACTTATTGGGGTCACTTTGGTCTTAATGTTGTACCGATTTCCGGTGTACGGTTCTACAGCACTGTGTCTGTAGAGTGCCCTGCACGCTCGTCTCCCAGAGTCCAGTCCCATCCAGGGGCGTGGGTTGGACCCCCTGCATCCTCCCCCACCCCCTCCCCTCTGCCAACAATCACACTGCTGTCTGTGACTGTGAGTGAGCTTGTTTTGTTAGTGTGCTGCTTTTTGTTTGATAGCCCACACGTGAGTTAAATCACATGGTTCAGGTCCTTCCCCATCTATTTTGTGTAGCATGATACTCTCCAGATCCATCCATGTTGTTGCAAATGGCAACATTCCATCCTGTTTACAGCGAGTCACATCCTACTGTGTGTATATGCAGCACCTCATCCCACCCCCACTGAAGGAGGCTGTGTCCCCGTCTGAGCTACTGTGCATAGTGCCGCAATGAACACAGGGATGTATATATGGATATATTATAATTATATAAACTAATAATTTCTTTGAATTTTTCAGGTATACACTCAGAAAGGGAATTTCTGGGTCATGTGGTAGCTCTATTCTGAATTTTTGGAGACACCTGCATGAAGTTTCCACAGGGGTTGTACCAATTTACATCCCACTAGCACAGGATGAGCGCTTCCTTTTCTCCACATCCTTTACAACCTTTGTAATTTCGGAGGAGATTCATTTATTGATGAGAGGGATCTGTTTATCGTTGCACCCATCCACACACTCACGAAATGTGGGTTCGATTCCCGGTCAGGGCGCACACCTGGGTGTGGGCTTGACCCTGGGTCAGGGCGCATATGCAAGGCCACTGGGTGATGTTTCTCTCCCACTTCAGTGCTTTTTTCTCTCTCCCTCTCTGCCGCTGAAATCAACGAACATGTCCTTGGGTGAGGATTAAAAAAATTCAATAAAGGGAAACATAATAAATTACACCAAAGTAAAATTTGTCTTTTGAAAAAATTATTTATATTTTACAAAAAGGGGACAGGAGGGAAAAAGACAGGGAGGGAGACATCAATGTGTGGTTGCCTCTCGCACGCCCCCAACCAGGGATCTGGCCCACAACCCAGGCATGGGCCCTGACTGGGAATCGAACCAGCGACCCTTTGGTTCACAGCCCACACTCAATCCACTGAGCTTCACCAGCTAGGGCTTAAAATTTGCCTTTTAAATGAGAAATTCTATGCTAAATGGCCTGGATTTAATGTTTCTGATGACATCTCTGAAGCTACAGTCTTATTAAACGCCTTTACCCAATTTAACTTTTGTTATAATTAAGCATTTAATACTCTGTTCTGGAATGGAGTTGTAATTTCCTGCTTCTGTCTTTTAATCATCTAACTCACGGATCTGCAATCTTTTTTGTTTGTTTCAAGTAGACAAGTTTGTTAAATGTTTCCTGTAATGCAGGTCTTGTGGTGGTAAATGCCCTCAGCTGTGTGTGTCTGGAAACACGTTTATTTTCCCTTCACATCTAAAAAATAACTTCATTGGGTATATTATTCTTGACTGATGATTTCTCTCTTTTCACATGTTTGAGTATTTGATTCCACTCTCTCTCAGCTTGTATTCTGCTGAAAACTCTGCTGAGTACCTAATAGAGTTTTCTTTGTAGGATACAGTCATTTTCCCTGTGGGTGCCTTGAGAATTCTTTGTCTTTAACTTTTGTCAGCTTTCATATAATGTGTCTCGAAGAAGGTCTTTTTGCATTGAGATAATTAGTTGTTCTGTTGATGCGGACACTGGCCTGCAGTGTCCGTGCCATTGTGGATGAGACGAGATAAATTCACAGACTATCGAGTCCTGTGAAGGAAGAGAGACAGCACTGCCACTGTCTCAAGGGGAGAGCACCCCGACCCTTGCCTTGACCGGCTTTTATTGGCTTTCTAGTAGCATACATCAAAGAAGGTTTTCACTCATTATGCTTAGGTTTGCTTTAGGTAATTACCGTTCACAGATAGAAACAGAAAGAATGTTATTGATAACTTCTTAGAGATTAACAAGGAAAAAATGTTGCAAATGCAAGGGAACCATAAGAGTAATTGGTCTTGTTACACTCCAGTCCTTGGGAGAGTTATCACAGACTTCAGGAAGTCACTTTAAAGATATGCAATAGGCATTTGTTGCCTCAACTCAGGGTGAGAAAGTTTTAGCAAGAGCAAGTCTCGAAGCAGCCTAGGTACAAGAAGGCCTGGTTTCCCATGAAAGAACCGATCTGTAGCTTTGGCTCTTGCGTGCCACAATGCGCCTATTCAGCTTTTCAATAGGGCTGAGGTACAGTTGCCATTGCCAGGCAGAAGCTAGCTAATATCCCCCTCCTACAATACTATTTGTACGAAAAAAAAAATGATCAGTTGGGGGGCATTTCGTGGGGTGAGAACACCCATATATATTTGCAGGCCCTGTGGGCATCGATATATTACAATGCAAGATAATAATTAACCTTCAAGTTAGTTTTATCTTTGTTAAGTCCTGACTGGCGGTGGGCATTAGTAATTTGGATATAATGTATAGACCTAGCAGAACATTGCCTTAAAAACTGAGGAAGCTAGCTAATTTCCCCCTCCCACAATATCAGTTGTAAGAAATAAAAAAGATATCATTTGGGGGCATTTCATGGGGTGAGAACAGCCTTATACAGTCGCAGGCCCTGTGGGCATCGATATATTACAATGCAAGATAATAATTAACCTTTTTTCTACAGGCCTCAGTCATTAAGGAAAGCTTAATTACATTCAGCTTTACCTTTGTTAAAAAAGTAGGGAAGCCCTGGCTGGTGTAGCTCAGTGGATTGAGCACGGGCCTGCGAACCAGACAATCGCGGTTTGATTCCCAGTCAGGGCACATGCCTGGGTTGCAGACCAGTTCCCTGCAGGCCAGTTCCCAGCAGGGGACAAACGAAAGGCAACCATACATTGATGTTTCTCTCCCTCTCTCCTTCCAAAGATAAATAAATAAAATATTAAAAAAAAAAAAGCAGGGAAGAGTGTGATATGTTCTGGAAGTTTTAATCAAAAGGGACTGCATGTCTGGCTGCTTATATCAAATTGAGCCTTTAACTATCTGGAAAAATCGTTTGTGTGGAGTGACTCGTTCTCCATGACCCCAGAGCAGAAACCCCTGGATAAAACAGAATGATGTCCTGTCTGTTTTCTTTGTAGCCAAAATGTCCATGTCCTTCTGTAGCCAGATTCATCCTTCTATGCCGTCCTGTACAAGCCTGAGCATCGGCTCACCTGGGCTGATGGTGCCTCGATACTCACCTGGGATGGTAAGTCCTCCCTGCTCACCTGGACTGACACGTCTCCCTGCCTACCTGGGCTGGTCACCCCTCCCTGCTCACCTGGGCTGTTCACCCCACCTGCTCACCTGGGCTGGTCACCCCTCCCTGCTCACCTGGGCTGTTCACCCCCCTGCCCCCTCTCACTTGGCCTGGCAGTACTTCCCTGTTTATCTTGGCTGAGAGCACTTCCCTGTTCTCCTGACCACAGCACCCCGCCCTGGTCTTCTCTTTGCCTCAACTGGCCTTCCTCGGGGAGCTGTGGTGGCGCCAAGGAAGAACAGAAGCTCCTTTCTCATTCAGGACGTTATGTGGTGATGAAAGTGACATGCCTGTCACCCCGTCTCACAGAGAGCCCCTCACACTAGGCCTAGAAGAAAACAGGCCTTTAAACTAAGATGCAGCCTTGACAGGCTAGAGGTGTGGTCAGCCGCGGGCAGGAACAAATGTGACGTGGCACACTAAAAAACACGAGACAAAAACCCCAAACCGAAACGAACAACGTGCTTCACTTTCAACCTGGAAACACATGTTCAAAGCTAATGGGAAATTTTAGGGTCGAAGAAGAGGGTGAGTTAGAAAGTGGGCAACCAAAGGGACCTGACCTGACCCTGTGGGTTATGTCACTGGAGAATGTTACCCACGGGAGGGGAGACCCTCTCTCTCTAGCCACATTTCCTCATTCAAGATGGGTCTTATGCTTTCTGGGCCTGGCCAGTCTGATGGCTTCATTAACTTAATGACTCACCCTCACCACCTACCCATAACCAACATCTGCCAGTTCCAGAGACTCCAGCCAGCTCAGGCTCTGCCTGAGCCAAGGACACGGAGAACCCTCAGCACAGCCTCAGGCCGGTGCACGGATGTGCTGCACTGGGGCTCCCTGGTGGGGCTGCCAAAACCTCAGGGTCACAGAGGGACCCGTGCACTTACTGTGAGGACCTAGTGGGACAATGACGGCACCGGGACTCCCTGGGTTTCCCAGACCATGACTGCAGGACAGCAGTGTGACCTGGGGAACGCAGGCAGAGAGCCGCTGGACGTGGGACAGGCTCCATCTCCCCAGCACGGGCACGCAGGGGTCCTGCCCCTGGAGCCCCCTCTGAGCATCTCTTCCTGCATCCGCTCACTGCCGCGGCCCCTCCTTCCTCTGCTCTGTGCAGCCTGGCCCGCCCGTGGTCCCTGACTCGGAGCTCATCGTCACTCCAGCCTCCTTCCACCTTGGAAGGTGTGAACCACTCGGCTTCTACCACGTCCTGACCTTGCAGGCCCAGCTCCCTAATTCTGTCCCTGGGACCCCCACCAAATTCAGATGGCTCAATTTGTGTTTCCTGCCAGCTGGATGTCATTGGTCCGTGGCCTGCCTAAAGGTCACGGCCCATCCTTGCCATTCTGGGCAGAGGCGGGACACTCATGGGATCTCCAGGGCGGCCCTTCCCCAGGGCCAGGCCCAGCAGGCAGGGTGTGGCTCTGGCGAAGGTGGCAGAGTGGGTTTCTAAAGACGGAAAATGGGGAAAAGCGCTCCATGAGTTGGAGGGGTTCTTCATTTTTGCCTCTGGTTCCCTCACTACCAGGCTGGGTGACAATGATAAGTCACATCCCCTCTCCACAGAGTGAGGGTCCAAAGGGAGGGAAGTGCCATTTGCCACATCGCCGCTCTGAGTACCACACACAGCTGTTGTCACTCCCCAGGAGGGAGGCGCCTCAACACACCCTGTTAAAGATGGGAAATCGGAGCACACGGTGGTTGATAACCGGCCAGAAGTCACACAGCTAGTAAGTGGCAGAGCAGGGGTCTCGACATGGTCGGTCTGGCTTGGGAGTCCGTGCCCTGCACCGTGTTGAATTCATGGCCGCGTTACCACGCCAGCGTCCCTCAGACTCCAGGACATCAGTGCGGCCGGACTGGGCTCTGCTCTCCTGAGTGGGACAGCCCTTCGCATCTGGCCAGGGCGGCACGCACCCCACAGGGACCCTGCAGGCTGCTGCCCTTTGCCTGTGCCCTCTCTGAAGGTCATGTGAAATGCTGGCCTGTCAGCAGGTGTCAACTCAAAAGCTTCTCCCTCAGCTACGTGCAAGGACTGTTGACCCAAGTGGCACAGGAGGATTAGACGATGCACTGATGTGACATGTTTGTTTGGTTGGGGCACAGTGGAGCTCACTGCTGTGGGGACACGGGTGCTTCACGGGGAACATGGGCGCACACGCCAGTTCCATGGCCTGGATGCACTTCCTGGGCCCTGGCTCCTGAGCTGAGGAGCCACCTGAGGTGGCTCCTGAGGTGACAATTGCTGAGACAGACAGAAAATCCCAGGTGGGATCTGGCAAGTGTTCTCTGGCCCTGGCGATGCCCCCCGCGAGCCCTCAGGGCATGGCTCTCTGGAACATGGGTGCGGGGTGTGTCCCTGTGCCATGGGGGCCTCCCACCCACATCTGTGCCTGGGGCCTTTCCTCTCCCGGGGACTCCCCATCCACAAACGCTGCCCTGTGTGGTCCGTAAGATGAGTTTTCATAAGACAGGGCATGGAGCAGCCAAACCAATGGGCTCACTAGACTTGGTAATGACCTCACCAAGGAGGTCAGGAGGTGGTCAGGCCCGTGCCCACCACCTGGCCATATAAGCAGAGTCGGCAGGGCCACTGGGGGAGGTGTTATTGTTCCCGACGCTGCAGCAGAGCGGGGATCAACCTGCCAAACTTAGTAAATTGCGGTTTACAGTTCGTTCCTGGGCTTCTAAAGACACATCTCCCTGAATCGGTCCCGATTCCGGAGTTGCAGCCATGATGACTTGGGCAACACTGATGCCTCTGCTCCTCGTGGGAGCCCTGGCCCAGGATGGGTCCGACTGGACGTACTCAGGTAAGGCCCCCCCCAGGGGCTGCAGGGAACCCTTCTGAGGGCCACGGCAAGTGAGGCTGACCACGCACAACTGCGTGCCGTCCCTGGGCAGGGTCTGCCCGTGGCTGGCTCCACATCTCGGGTGTGCAGACGCCACACAGAACCCAAACCTCAATTAAGGAAGAGAGGACCTAGCTGTGCCCAGATCCCTGACTCACCTGCAGCTCTTCTGCCCACGGAGCGGGCATGGGGGCCGCTCACGGCTCCTGACTGCCAGTCACTTGCTCTCTCGGGCTCTGAGTGGAGAATAAAGACCACTCACTGCCCACGGTCTCGCAGAGGGTGTGCAGGGTTTGTGGGAGTTTTACTCTCGGCAGTCTCGTGACCTGTGGTTCACCCAGAATATCATGAAAGGCCAGGAACCCGGGCCTTTTAGGTAGAGTCCAGCTGCCCTTCCTCGGGGGCCATGATCCTGGTGACCCTTGAACCCACACCTCACTGAAACCCAACTTTTACATGTAACATCGAAGCCCCTGGCATTACCCCAGGTGTAAGCCAAAAGTAGGAAGACCACCCCGTCTGTGGGGTCCGGCCATGGCCTCCTCCCTCCACGGGACAGTGTAGAGCACCTGCCTCCCCGCCCCCCTTCTCCTCTGAGCAAACCCAACCTGCAGAGGAAGAAGGTCCCACTCTCTGCACAGCACCCCCACCACCTACCTGGACACATGGTGAAGTGCATTCAGGGAGAGGTATGTCCTGTTAGGTCAAGGGTAACAGGATAGGGGCATTGCAGGCAAGCTCAGGAAGTCCAGCTTCTCGGGAAGGACAGCCAGCGCCGACAGAGGGCTCTGCTCTGGAGTGGAGGAATCCCATAGGAGGCCGCTGGCCCAGTGCGCTGGAACGAGGCTGAAGAAGGGAGAGCAGTCGGACAGGGCAGGTCTCATCCTCCCGGGCTCGGCCCAGCCTCTGGGACTGTGGGCCTTCTGGAAAGTCACCGAGGGCCTGGGAGAACTTGGGGCAGCTCCTGCAGTGCCCTTGGGGAATACTTGACACCCAACCATGCCCCCAACTCTGGCAAAGCCTTTTGATCTTGACTGTGCTCAAGAACTTAGGCCTTGAACCTAGCATCTGCCTCTAGGAAAGAGTTGTTTAAAAACAGGTTTCTTTATTAGAGAAGAGCAGAACTGACTTTTCTATGGCAAAACCAAGCCACCCCAAGCGGCCCCAATAAAAACACGTCTTCCTTAACACAAGCTGAGCCCTTACCACCCAGCTGCACCCCAGGGGGAGGCACAGCCTGGGTCCCGGTTGCCAGGGGCTGAGACCAGGCCCTGCAGTAGTTTGCACGCTACCCCTCCCCCACTGTGCTTAGTAAGAAAGATACATTTCCTTGCTTTGATATTTTTTACACTCATCATTTGCTCATGTGGGAACCCGGCTTCCTCTCTTCCCTGAATCCATAGGTGTAGGCGCCCAGGGGTCTTTCCTGGGAACCAATTGAAAGGGGCTGGAGCAAGGAAATAGCTGGGGTGTCCTGCTGTGCCTGCCACCCCTGCCGTTATTGGGGGGCAGGGTGTCACTGCTGGGGCCTGGGAAGGAAACTGTGCCCTTGAAAGCAGCACAGTGATGCTGAGTCCAAAGAACCCCTGGTACCTCTGTCAGCTGACAACCTCCCAAAGTGGAGAATCGTCCAGACCGAAGCTCTGTGGTCAGGACTTGGATGGTTTCCGAAACACTCAGTCGTGTTCTCAGGGCAGGGGTTGCAACTTCAGAGCCAGGAGCCAGCACCCACGCTGCAGACACCAGAGCAAGTGCAGCTGACTTAGATGCCCCTCCCACCTCCCTCTGAGGCCCTGCTTCTGCTTCCTAGAAGGCAGACCTCTGGCCTTGACCTTGGTATCCTGCCTGGCCCCTGAGGGAGGGCCCCTGAGTCCCAGTCTCTGGCCTGAGCCCTGAGGGAGGCACCCCGAGATGGATTCAACCAGGCATCACCCCGAGCTGTGACATCCTGTGCTCTCTTGTCTCAGGGGGGCCACTGGATCAGGACCACTGGCCCAGGGAGTACCCTTCCTGCGGGGGGGAGAGACAGTCGCCCGTCAACCTGCAGACTAAGAAGGTGCAGTACAACCCCTCCCTGAAGGCTCTGAACCTGACCGGCTATGACGCCCAGGGGCTTGACTTCCCCATAATGAACAACGGCCACACAGGTAAGGAGTGGGTTGTCAGCCCGGGGTCCTGTGTGCAGGCTGGGGGCTCGAGGGCTGACCAGGGTTAAGGGCCTGAGAGGAGGAGGCTCTTGTGAAGCCGTGCAGCCTCTGTGCTTGGACTCAGTCCCCCGCTGGTTCCTTCAGTCCCCAGTAGCCTCTGCTGAACTCACCCTGACCCAGCCGGAGGCAAATTCAGGTGACGTGGCCGTGCTGCGGAGGCCACACGGCCGCTGGTGTCCCCGTGTACTCCGGTCCGTGACCCCCTCTGATTTTCTGTTTCCTCTGCTGAGTCTGATTGGCTCCAACTGCCCAGCAGGTGGGCCAGTGTTTCTCTGCCGGTTCAAGGCAGCTCTTGTCTTCTGTTCCCTCTGAGAAAGGGGGTGAAGGGCAGACAGGAAAAGCCGGGTCCCCACTTCTGAGAGCGGGACGGGACGGCTGTCAGATCCGTGCTTTATGTTCGCAGGACACTGTGGGGGCCAGAACCCGCCTCCTCTGGGCTTCCCACAGCACCCACAGCACATCGAACAGAAAACACGCGCAGTCCACGTTCCTCATATTTTTAAATGCATTTTGAGAGATGATTATAATTTAGCCTTTGAGATTATCTGGCTACTCTTTACAACTGGCTACACTTTTGTAGACGGCTCCATGACACTCAGGAATTCTACTGAGGAACAAAATGCAGTCTAAAAATTTTCAAGTCTAATGGCATTTTGATGAATACCAAGTTTAAAAGTAAGGTTGACATGATATAAATAAGCATTTATTAATTTTGGTTTTGCAGGGTTTAGTATTTTGAAACCCAAGATATTAGTAGTTATTTCTAAATAAAATACATTAGTTTATAGTTATTATAAATAACTATAGTTATTTATAGTTACTGTAAATATATATTTTAATAGACTTTATTTTTACTTTTTAAACATTTTATTTACTTTTAGAGAAAGGGGAAGAGAGGTAGAGAGAGAAAGAGAGAAACACCAATCTGCTGCCTCTCAAACACGCCTGACCGGGTTCTGAACCTGCAACCTAGGCGTGAGCCCGGACTGGAAACCAAACCTCCACCTTTCACTTCACAGGACAAAGCCCAACCACTGAGGCACACTGGTCAGGACAGTGGACTTGAGTTTTCAGAGTAGTTTCAGGTTCAGAGGGAAATTGAGCAGAAAGTACGGCCGTCTCTCAACCACTCCCCGCACGCACAGCTTTTCCCGTGGTGAACGGGGCTCACGGAAAGGTGCTTCTCTTCTGAACCAAGGCTGAGCCTCCGCTGACACAGGACAACCACCCAGCATCCACGCTGTCCCTCAGGGCTCACTCGGGTGCTGCACAGTCTATGGATTCCGTGGGTTGGACACATCTGTGATGACATGTGTTCCTCCCTGTCACGTCAGACAGTACTGTCACTGCCCCAGGCATTCTCTGTGCCCTGCTGAGTCATCTGTCCTTCCAGTCCCGTCCCTGGCAACCACTGATCTTTCAGCTGCCTCCCATGACTGACCTTTTCATGAATGTCAGGGAGCTGGAATCGCACAGTATGTAGCTCTTCAAACTGGCTTCTGTCGTTTAGCAACACGCATGCAAGGCTTCTCCCTGCCTCTTCACAGCGTGACAGCGCATTTCTTCTGAGTGTGAAATAGTGCTCCGCTGTCTGGATGCTCCACAGCTCAGTCATTCGTCAGCGACGCAGGGACAACTTGGTTGTTTCCAGGTTCCGGCAATGTTGAATGAAGCTGCTAGAAACATCGAGTGCAGGATTTTGTGTGGACGGAAGCTTTCCGCTCCTTTGGGTGAACAGCAGGCAGTGTGACGCTGGGTCACATGGTGAAAGTAGGTTTAGTTTTGTGTGAAACTGAGAAACTCTCCCAAAGCGGCTGCACCTCCTTGAGCTCCCTCCAGCAGCGAGTGCGATTCCTGCCGCTCCCCGTGCTCCCTGCATTGGGGGTCGTCAGAGTTCCGATTTGGCCCTTCTGACAGGTGTGCTGTGGTGTCTCGTGTTGTTGCAATTTGTATTTCCCTGGTGACGTGTGATGTGTGAAGCATCGTTTCGTATGCTTCCTGCCATCTGTGCATTTATTTCGTGAGGTGTCCAGTAAGATCTCTGGCCCAGCTTCTCATCAGGCCGTTTGCTTTCTCAGTGTTGAGCTGTAAGAGCTCGTTCCACATTCTGCACAGCAGCCCTTCACTGGGTGTGTGGTTTGCGGATATTCTCTCCCAGCCGTGGCTTGTCTTCTCATTGTTTCCATACTGTCTTCTGCAGAACCGAGTGTTAAATTTTAATGAGGTTGAGCTGATCAACGATTTCTTTCATCAGTCAAGTTAGGGTACATGTGGTATTTAAGAAGTCATCACCATACACGTGGCCATCTAGGTTTTCTCTGACGTCCTCTTCTAGGCATTGTATCGTCTGCATTCTACACTCAGGTCTGTGATGCCTCGGGAGCTCATCTGGGTGAAGGATGTGAGGCCTGTGTCCGGATTCATTCTTTTTCATCTGGGTGTCCAGTGTTCGACCACCATTTGTTGAAGAATCTATCTCTGCCCCACTGTGTTGCCTTTGCCCCTTGGTTAAAGATCAGTTGGCTGTATCTCCGTGGGTCTGTTTCTGGGCTTTCTGTTCGGTCCCACTGATGTGTCTGTCTGTTCTTTGGACGGCTCCACACAGTCCTGAGTGTGTGGCCTCATCGTAGGTCTGGAAGCCAGGGAGTGCCAGCGTCCCGACTTTGCTCCTGTTCAGTGTGGAGCTGGCTGTTCTGGGTCTTTTGCCTCTTCATGTGAACTTGGAATCAGTTGGTCAATATCCACAAAATTCCTTGCTGGGGTTTCCAGTGGGATTTCATTGAGTCTATAGATCAAGCTGAGAAGAACTGATATCTTGGCAATATTAGATCTTCTTGTCCAAGAGCATGCAACATCCCTCCATTTATTTAGTCCTTAGATTCCTTTCATCAGATGTTGGTAATTTTCCTCACATAGCTCTAGTATGTACTTTGTTAGATTTCTACCTAAATATTTAATTTTCGGGGGTGCTCATGTAAATGGCATTGCATTTTTCATTTCAAATTCTACTTTATACTTTTATGTGCCCCATTTTTATTATATTAAACACACGTCACTTATATTTCAATAAAAACAAACTGGAAACACACCCGGATGTTGAGGCAAATTGCTACATGAGTTTCTTAAGCTTATTCTCAATTTTCTATTTTCTATTTTGTTGTAAATTAGTGAGAATTGGTGGAGCAGGACTGATTAATAGACATAGTTTGAATTCCCCCAAATGCCTACTCACAGGCTCCAGGAAAGCTCACGAGCCTGAGGCCCTGGGCTTTTAGTGATCAGTGAGGCTGACCACACTGTGCTCTTGAGAGGTGCTGCCGGCCCCTCCGTGTGTGGGCTCCTCGGGGCAGGGACCGTGGCTGGCTGACTGGCCTGCCCCAGCTCCTGGCCCAGAGCCTGAGCAATGGTGCTCACTCTGGGGAGTGAGAGGAATCAAATAGTCCCACAGACCCCTCCCCCTATTCTTGCACCACAGGCAAGTTCCAAAATGGCCAGGAGTAGAGGGTGAAACTCTGGTTTGCACACCCACTGGCCATGGAGTTCCAGGGCCTCTTCCTTCCCTGGGGCCAGCAAGCTGGACCTGCTACTTTGCAGTCCTGCTCCTGCCCTTCCGGGCCAGGGTGGGCAGGTGTGTACCGTGGGAGAGGCACCTGCCCAGCCCTGTGGACTCAGTGCCTGGTGTCCCTGCCGCTCTGGGTGCCAGCCACCCCTCCCATGGGCGTCCTGCTAATGTCCCAGGAGTGAGCAGGTGACCGGGGACGCTGTCTAGACAGCAGGCCCGGCCCACCCACGCCCACCCACACCCCTCATTGTCCCTCGCCTTCCCTCCCAGTGAAGATCAGCCTGCCCCCAACCATGCGCATGACAGTCGCTGATGGCACCGAGTACGTGGCCCTACAGATGCACTTCCACTGGGGTGGCGCGAACTTCGAAATCAGTGGCTCCGCGCACACCATCGACGGGATCAGATACCCAGCAGAGGTACCGGGAAGAGCCCTGCGGGGTCCCCTCTCTTCAAACACTCTTCTTATTAAAACCACCACACAGACTTTGTGGGGCGGTGACCTCATGTCCCCCCAGGCCAAATTTATTTTTCATTCATTCACAACTCCTCACTGATCACTGCTGGTGCGGGGTGCAGGCAGGGACCTGCCCTCACAGAAGTCGCAGTGAGACGGGAGGGCACACCCCCACAGCGGGACAAGCCCCCTCCACCTGCAGAGGGACTCCTACCTGTCGATTTTGCAGGTCCCCTCTCTTACTCACATCTGTCCTTAGGATGATCACAGGTCCACAGGGGCCTCGTGGGGCGAGGGGTCATGTCCACTCCCCAGGGACCTCGGGAGAACCCCAGAGCCTCCTGTGATCACTCTGGACTCTGCCAGCTGGTCCACCTGCAGGGAGGTGTGGTCAGGGACATGCCCTTGAACTGCCGTATTCCCAGACTCCACTCACACTCTTTCTGTTCCTGGAGACCTTTCTAGTCTTGACAGACCTCGTGGCCTAGGCAAGGGAAATAGAGGTCGGAGTTGTGTGTGGGGGGCGCCCTGAGGGTTCTGAGAGAACATGTTTGTTCTCTTCCTTCGCCAAACAGCAGCCAAAGTTCAGAGGAACTGCCCCTGACTTACTTTCTTGCCCCCCACAGATTCATATCGTTCACTACAATTCCAAATACAGCAGCTTCGACGAAGCCAAGAACGCCCCGGACGGCGTGGCCCTGCTGGCAGGTCTGATAGAGGTAGGCTGAGCCTGCGCAGTGGGGGATGGTGCACGGGCGCCCACACAGGCCTTCAGTGTGGGAGCCGAAGGGCCTTCCTTCCTGCCCCTTCTCATCTGTTTCTGAGCTCACGCTCCTTGGCCAACTCTGGAAGGTCCGCCCTTTTCAATCCCACATTCCTCTGTGTTACCACACTCAGGGACCTTGGGCAAGTTGATTTAAGACAGTTGGGGACACAGAAGGGTGGATGGACGTCACCTGGTCTGAGGGGAAGGGGAGCCTGCAATTGGCCAGGCAAAGGAACTCCTCTGTGTTTCTAAGGAAGCCTGGAGGGTGGCAGTTGGCCTGGGGGCTGGTCACTGAATCCAATCCCCCCACACAAGTGTTAAGTTGCATAAGATCGTCCCAAACGACCACACCAGTTCTGGAAATGGACCAAAGGCAAGCAACAAATGCAGGCATTTATCTGTGCAAAATAGCTAGACTTTCAGTGACAACAGTGGTAGTCTGTGGACTTCCCGCCACAGGCTGGCACCATGCCCACACCCTGACTCGGCCAGCAGCTTGACCCTGCCTGGGGTAGGGATGGACTGGATTTGGGGGAAGAGCTGAAAACCCATGGTGGGGGTCACTGTCAGTAAAAGTAGCAAACTCGACAGAAAACAGGGAGAACTCCACCTCTGATAGTCTGAGGCTCAGTCCCAGCTGCGGTGAGTGGCAGTGGGAGACCAGTCAGAAATGCATCGAAGAGATTCTGGACAGGAGAGAGCCATGGAGGAACTGTGAGCTTCCTGAGAGGTGGGAAGTCAACTGGAGAACCAGCTGGACTTGAAGGCGCCTTTGAACCCTCACCCAGATCTGTCTGAGGGGGTGCAGGTTCGAGGGGCTCAGGGCAACAGACCTCCTTGGCCACATGGTAAAGAAAGTGGGCAGGAGCAATGCACCTGAGAGCTGAGAGGACCAAGGGTCACTGACAATCGCCAGATGAGTGATTTTTCAGACATCAACCCTCAAAAAGGAAATGAAGAGTGACCTGGCAGTGGGCGGGACTGGGGCAGTCAAGTCCTGCAAAGGTCCCTGGGGACATTTTACAGTGATTTTGGCCCCTCCTTGAGGGTATCCTCTGTCACCACCAAGTTCACTAAAGGCATCAGGGCTTGTCTCCCTGGAGGAGACTGGTAAGCCCAGGCACTTGGTGGCAAAGAACAGCCAGATTGCCCTCGAGGCTGTGCCCAGCCAGGCAGCCCCCTGAGAGATGGGAGGACAGAGAGGCGCCGGCAGGCGCTCCCCCACTTAGGGTCTGCTCTGTGTTTCTCCTGCAGGTCAAGTGGTTTACCAGAAACCCTTATTACAGCAACTTACTTTCCCACCTGAAGAACGTCAAGCGTCCAGGTGAGGAAAGCGGCTGCGGGAGGGAAGAGGAACGAGTGTAAGGTGGGGACAGGGGGCTGGGAAGGGCGGCGCTGCTGCAGAGGCTGGCAGATAAGCCCTGGCAGGGAGGCATGGCCTCCCTGGGTGAAGTGTCTTTTTCCAGCAATTTCTGCTGTGGGCTCAGGCTTCCAACACCTCTGAGAAGCCTGTTCATACATAAACTCTGCCTGTAGGTTCCCACGACTGGAACTTCCAGAGAGCCAGAGTTATCTTAAGGGACTCTCACCCCTGACCCCCAGGGCTATGATGACCCAGGTCCCTAGAGGGAGGTCCTCCTGAGCTTCCAGCTGAGAAGAATCACGGGGTGGGGGCTGGCCTTCCTTCCCTTGGCCTCTGGAAGGCCAGTTCTTGCCAGAGGCATGGCCTTCTCCCAAGGTCAGCCCTTGACCTTGAGCAATAAGCATGTCTGCTTTGAGGCCTTGGTTTGGAGCCTCCCATCTCAGCCACAGGACTTCTGTTCATGCCCCTCCCCCTGCCCCACTCCACTCCAGGTCCCCACGTCTGTGACATGGGAGAAGCCCCTGACCTGGCCCAACACCCTCCGTGTGAACATGACCCTCATACTCAGGGTCTGCTGTCCGGCCCTGTCCCTTCTCTCCTGCATCGCTGATTCCTTACCCTTCAACAGGTCATTCTGCTCAGCACGCAGTTCAGCTCCAGTACCTCCCACCTCACAACACAGGCAAACAGAAGTATCTGGACCCTGCCAGCCCAGGACTGGCTCCTGAACCATTTTCAGCCCCCCTCGAACAGCTGTCTGGCAGGCTGTTCTCTTTCTCACCCACCCTCCCCCGGGCCCCCTACTGAGTTCTCACCCCCTGCAGAGCCTTGCAGGTCCCCCTTGCAGTCAGGTCTCCTGGCCAGTGTCCTTCTCTTAACTGACCTTGACACACAGATCCATTGCACAGGGCTCTCCTTGTGGCCCTGCCCCACCCCCAGCGCTGCTCTTTCTCTGGCTCCCACTCTGGTGCTGGAGGGGGCCCAGCCCATCTTTCCTCGGACCTCATTCAGGTCTATGGCACGAACTGCCCCCCCTAGGCTGTGGACTCCACACACCTGTAGCTGGTCCCCCAGGCAGTGATGGTATCAGGAGGGCCAACAACAGGACAACACCGAACAAAAAAATGAAAAAAAAACACCCCAACCCCCTCTTTCTGCACAACCCCCCACCCCCCCCCCCCCCCCCCCCCCCCCCCCTCCCCGCCCCTTTTTTGTATTTCCATGCAGACCTAAAAGTCAGCCTAGCCAACACATGACCCTGCACTGCCATCCCCCTCCGGGCCTGCTTCTAAATGCCTTTCTCGTCTCAGCAGAGAATGTCCTCTGTCCCACTGTCCAAGCCCCCGATCCGGGAACTGTCTTGATTGTCCTCTTCTGGTGACTCCCCATGTCCCAACCAAGGCCAGGCCATTGTTCCCACCTCTCTGCCCCCCAGTTCTTCCGGTGGATACCCAAGAAGTAGAGTTGCCGGATTACACAGTAATTCCATGTTTGCTTTTTTAAGGAGCCACCATAATTCCACAGCAGCTGCATGCGGCTCTGGAATTCTTGACTCGCTTAAATATGATAACGTTATGAAGCTAAATCTGTGTGACTGAGCCCTTCAGAAGGTCACGTTTTGAACTCTTTCCAATAACAACAGAAGAGCGATCTCTTGCTTACTCATGGGGTCTGCACTACTAGACTTCCCGGCTTTGGTTAAACAAGGCCTGTTTATATCTGTGTCCAAACTGTGCCCTCTTTGCCCTTAAAATGTGCAAAAGTTCTCAGAGAAAGTGAAGCAAAATTCAACTCAGTTCCATGTTGCCTTGCTAGCCTCATGCTGGGCTTGGACTGCCGTGGACAATGGAGGAAATTCGTAGATGCAGTGATAGGGCGGTGGGGTAGGGGGCGCTGCAGAGGCCTCAGACACCTGCTGCTCTCCTCTCCTACCCCCAGCCTGTGGCTCAGCCTGGCTCCCAATGGGAGTGGCTCCCCAAGGGCGTGGCTCCCAATGGGCGTGGCAAGGGGAGCTCAGGACCACAGGCCTGAACCTGGAGCCCAGACCCCGGTCTGACTCTGATTCTGCTTTTCTAATCTCTATTCGTCCACTTCAAAATGAACCCAAACCCAGGGATTTTGTTACTTCGAGGACACTTGCTCAGGAGCCTCTGGGAGTCACCATCAATTTCTTCCTTTTATCATAAGAGTACCCTTGGCCTCACAATGATGATGACGACAATGACAACTACGCTCACATGTCCTGCCCCGTAAACCTGTGGGCACTTTCTGAACCCGTCCCCCTTCCTCCTCACCTCAGTCCTGCTGACCCTTCCCTGTTGTGGATGAGGAGGGAGCCCTGCACACCTGGCCAGGGCCACTCAGCCAGGAGGAGGTGGCTGAGCAGGTTCCTCCCCAAAGTCTTTGCTCTTCACTCCTTCTGGGAAACAGAAAACTGGGGAAACATTCTCCACTAACCATGTTATTCTATGTTCTTCTACTTAAGTCAGGAGATTTGAATGTGGAGGTGAGCTGAGCTGGCTTCCTGGGGGGCAGCTGCAGTCTCTAACACTTTTTTATCTTTTGCCCCCTCTGAAAGGACAAAGCACAGTTCTGAGTGGCCTTAACATTCGGAACATGCTGCCTCAATACCTCAACCACTACTATACCTACCCGGGCTCATTCCTCACTCCTCCCTGTGAAGACAATGTCCAGTGGTTTGTGCTGGAGGACACGGTCCCGATCTCCAGGACACAGGTAATACATTGCATCTCTTCCTTCAAGCCTCTCCTTCTGACTGTCTGCTTAACCAGAGGCCCCCGTAGTCCCACCTAATTCCAACACCTGGGCACCTAGGGTGCCTTCTATGCACAGGGCTGGGGAAGGCGGGTTCACCTGTGTTGCCATGGTGATCTTATGAGTGCTGTGGCTGAGATGGGCAGGCAGGCAGGCATCTCAGGGTCTGGGGCACCATAGTTGATGCAGCAAAAGCTCGGCGCCAAGTCCGGGCCAGAGCAGGGGGTTGGACAGGGAAGGGGACCAGTTACTGCATGTGCTCTCAGAGGCCCCGGCAGCACATGCTGGCTCACACGCTAACAGAGCTCACACGCTAACCGCGTACGTGGCTTCACGCAGGAAGGACAGCTCGCACTGAGGCCTGTGCCACGCTGGAACTCCCGAGCCTTCCCGGGAGAAGGGCGGTGCCATGTGTCTGTGTCCTCCAGCCCAGCACAGGCACAAAGCATTCATTGAGTTAAAAAGGACCCATGTGCTGAGCTTGCAAAGCAAAGCTCACATTTCCTTCTGGGTGATATTCTTCCTCAGAGAAAAAGATTTCTTTTTCTTAAACTTCTCACTTCCCTGCCCCAGTAGAAGATGGGGAGACCCATAACAAGGGCACCCACACACAAAAAGGCTGCCAACCAGGCCGGAAGTACCCCAGATTCCACCTCCCCAGGCACTTAACACAATGATTGGCTTTAATAGCATCTGAGACACAGATCAAGAAAGAATTAGTAAACTGGAAGACAGAGCTGAGAAAATGATCTCAAATGAAGCACAAAGAGAAACAGAGATAAAAATATGAGAAAGAAGTACAAAAAAACCCCAGAGAATATAGTGGAGAGATCTAACAAATATTTGGTTGAAGGCCAAGGCGAAGAGAGGTAGCATAGAGAAAAGGTACAATTTGAGAAACACTGGCTGACAATCCAGTGCAATCAACTATTTCTGAATAGTTGAAAGACACCAAGTCATATATTCAGTAAGCCTAATAATGAGTCGATGTAAATTAAAAAAACAAACACATTAAGCATACCACGGTGAAACCACAAAAAAAAATCAAAGACAAAGTTTAAAAATCAGCCAGACAGAACTGATGATCTTTTCATGATAATCTGTGAGTTGATTCAACACAGCAACAGTGAGTGTCAGAAAGCAGAAAATCGTATTTTTAAAGCACCAAGAGAAATGAGTAGCAGCTGTAGAATTATACACACAGCAAAAACGCCTTTCAAGAGACATTGACAAAATACAGATACTTATAGAAAAATGAAAATTGAGCTTGCTACATGCTATGTTTCTATTTACTTATTTATCTCCTTTCTACAATTCACAAAATACTCATAAAAAAAAAGATGAAAGGAGATTTTTGGAAGAATAAGTGCATGAATATCCCATACCTGACATTTCTACCCAAGAACCTCCTCTGGTCTTGAGATCTCCCAGCTGCTTTATCCGGGTTACATAAGCCAACATCTGGTGCCATTTCCAACAAAACCTTTTAAATCGTCCAGTGCCTCTTCCTCTCCATAACTCACTTCATGTTGCCAACAGATTTCGAAACTCGAGAACTCCTTACTGGACAACCAGAACAGGGTCATGCAGAATAATTACCGTAGGACCCAGCCCCTGAACAGCAGAGTGGTGGAAGCCAGCTTCATGTGTCAGCCTGATCCTGGTAAGATCACCTCGTTCACGTTTTGCGATTGGTTGACTCCTGGTTTCTTCCCTCTCTGGTGGACCTGTCCCTTCTGGCAACAGAAAGGGGAGGAGGGTCATCCCAGCAGCAGGAGGCTCCTGCCCACCAATCCGCCCAGGGCTTGGCAAAGGGGATGACCCATTTCCCCAGTCCAGGCAGCGATGCTAGTGAGGAGAATGGAGGAGGCAATGAGGGTGGATGACTGACTGTGTCATTCACTGCCCACTGGGGCCTGGCCAGAGACAGGAGGGGAAGCAGGAGGTCCGCAGCACCCAGACACGCCCTCAGAGGTGTAGGCTCCCATTCACGTCATTTAATCCGACTCATGTGATTCCCCAGGCACCTGTATCTGGGTCTGTAGCCCAAGCTCATCTCATCTCCTCCCACACACCCCCTCAAGGCAGGGTTAACCACATTTTCCTGGGGGTCAAGCCCTGGCACCAGGGCTCTGGCTGCAGGAGCAGGCAGTGCAATGTCCTTGGAAATCGCTAACCCACCGGGTGAGGCTCCAACTGTGTTCTTGGCTCACCTCATTTCTGTGGTTTTAAGAACATAAATACTCTGAAATTCTCCCATCTGTTTTTTGGTCTGCTTCTGTGTCTTTGCAATCTATTTCTATTTCCCATTCCACACACCTTTACGGCCTCTAACACGATGGCATTGGTCTCCAATCACTATTTCCTCACCTTGATGCATCTCTTGCACGATTTTTAAATCTCCATGTGTAACCCCCGAAACATAAAGGCCCACTGCACTTTTCTTCCTGTATCCGGCCAGGGTTCACTCATGTGATTCCCCATCACGCTTTTTCCCCCACACGCTTTTCCCTTTGTATCACTTTGCTCCTCCACTGGAAGGCTAAGAAAAAACAATACTGGCTGTAATTATAATGTCCCCATATTGGTGATTACCAGAGGGAAAGGGTGGGGGAGGGGGAAGAGGGTCAAGGGTGGGTAAGTGGCAATAGGAGGAGACTTGACTTGGGGTGATGAATGCACAACACGATATACAGATGAGATAGTATGGAATTGTACCCCTGAAACTAATACAACTGCAGTAACCAGCATCACTCCACTAACTTCCATTTAGACATTTCCCATATTGTACTACATACGATATTAGCAGTTACTAGCCCAAGGGAGCTCAGACTCCATCCGTCTCCTTGTTCTAATCTGCCCGCATCCCCCCAGTTTCCCAAATGAAACCGTGCACCGTCCCTGCAAGAGGCACAGACCCCGTGGTTCCCCAGGTGCCACATCTCTCAGGCTGTCTCCCCGTGGTGATGGCGGGGGTGGCCATCCCTCCAACTCCCCACCCGAAGGAGCTCGGGTGGTCGGGGTCCTGATACCTCTTAGACCGCAGAGCTCCGTGCTGCTGGCTGCCTGAAGGTCCACTGGGGGCCTTCTGAGCCTCACTGTGTGGGAATGTCACTGTCACTCCCAGTGGACAGCAGGAGGGCTCCTCCCCGCCCCCCAGCTGAGGGATCCCAGCCACCCCTCACTGATAACAGAAGGGGGAACTGGGCATCACCCCTCCACCTGCCTGCCCTCAGGCCAGGCTTCCAGCCTCCAGCTGAGCCTGTTGGTGACTCACGTGATGCCTCCCTGTCCTGTGTCTCTTAGTCCTGCAACACAACCCGCCTGTCAGTGAGGAATGACCTGAGGAACCCAGGTCAATTGCAAAATCAACACAAAGGTCAAATGCAGACCTCTTGCCATTTATTTATTGGAAAACACCTGTGTGGCCTGTGGTACCGAAGGGCTACTAAGCACCACCTTGGAAACTAAGGTGCAAGAGTAGAACCACCTGCCACACTGTCACCCCGAGATCTCGGCAGTTTGCAAGCCTCCATTCAGACACAGTGAAGGTGCCTGAAAGCCAATTGGATGGGAACATGGGCATTCTCAGGAGTGGAAGACCCTTCCCTTGAACTCACGTGTGTTGGGGGGAGGTGTCTGGCTGCCCACGCTCTGTTGTCATGAGGAACTCCAGTGTCGTGACTCTTTCTACAAACTCTTCTTTTTATACAACATTTTCTAGGCTCTGAGGTCCAGTGTTCCTCAAGGTAGATCAACCACAACCTCAAGGACTTGAGAAACTATGTGGAAGACAAGAAAGCATAGACAGAGAGCAGCACTGAGCTGGCAGCTCGAGCTGGTGCAGGAAGAGCTGGCCTCCCAGAGTCCACGCCCTGTCCTGGCTCCCGCAGCGACCCCCCGGTGAAATCACACACATTGATCTTCCTAAATCATCAGCCAGCTCTAACTTCCCTGTAGTGTTAGGTGTAATCATGCCTTTAGATGTAATAAATAACTGTGGAAATTGGTCATTTGAAAACGTCTCTTTTCTCTTTCTTCGTAATATTTCAAATATCCCTTCCTTGTCCTACCCCAAGGTCCCCGGATGATGGGACAGAGACCAAGCTGGGAGGGATCGCCATGACCAAGGTTAAGAAAAAGGAAAGAGCCCTGGCCAGGTGTCTCAGTTGGTTGGAGCATCGTCCTGTACACACACCATAATGCTGTTGGTTCCATCCCCACTCAGGGCACATGCCCAGGTTGCAAGTTCAATCCCCAGTCGGGGTGGATACAGGAGGCAGCTAATCAGTGTTTCACTCACAGGTGGATGTTTCTCTCTCTTGCCCTCTGCCTCCCCCTCTCTCTAAAATCAATAAAAGTGCCCTTGGGTGAGGATTACAAAGTAAAAAGGAAAGGAAAGGATAGTTGGGAACTTGTGGGGGTGGGGAGGCTGGAGCAGACACCGCCCCCTTGTGGTCACTAGACCCAGGTTCAGGTGCTGGCTCTACCACTTATGAGCCTATTGCTGTCCAGGGGGCCCCGGGCAGGGTGGGCAGAGGCCTTGGGCCTGCTCCCCTGCTCCTGCTGGAGACCCTTGGAGACCCAGGGTGTGAAAGGCAGTGAGTCCCCCTGCTCAGAAGGACAAGGAAGACAGGCACCCAGGGACGTGTCCAAGACAATGACTGTCCAACCTGCAACACTGGAGGGCGAGAAAAGTCCTATTAAAATGTTAGAACTTTTACCCTGACCAGTGCAGCTCAGTTGAATGGGCGCTGCCCTGCAAAGTGAACATTCGCTGGTTCGGTTCCTGGTCAGGGCACATGTCGGGGTGCCTAGGATAGGCCACCAATGATCTTTCTTACTCACATGGATGTTCTCTCTCCCTCCCTTCCCAAATAAAAACAAACAAACAAATGAAATATTAGAACTTCTGACCTGGCTGGTGTGACTCAGTGGATTGAGTGCCATAGGGTCACTGGTTCGGTTCCCAGTCAGGGCACATGCCTGGGTTGTGGGCCGGGTCCTCAGTTGGGTGCCTGTGAGAGGCCACAGACCGATGTATCTCACATATCGGTGTTTCTCCCCTGCTCTTTCTCCTTTCCTTCCCATTTCTCTACAAATAATTAAATAAATGAAATCTTTTTAAAAAATGTTAGAACTATTTAGTCAATTTTAGTTCATTGTGCTTGCTCATTACAAGTCTTTGAAGTAACAGAGGGTGGTGAATTTTGTAAATGTCTAACCATAGAGAGCTGGTTTGGAGGTGAGGCCGGCATGAGTGTGTGTGTGTGCACAAAGAGATCTGGAAGGTTCCACACCAAGGACTAAACAATCATTTTCTGAGCGGGTCAGATTATGACTTTCAAGATGAAAAGGAGTTGCTTTTATAAAAAATAAATAAAAGAATGAAGGAAATAGGTCTACGGTCTTCTAACAATTTGAATTTTCATTTTTTGTAGTCAATTATATTAGTTCTGTTTTAATTTTATTGAAAGGATGAAAAATGAAAGTTTCCAATCATCAATGGACATTTTTTAAAGATTTTATTTCTTTATTATTAGAGAGAGGGGACAGGAGGGGCATAGACAGGGAGAGAAACATCGGTGTGGGGTCCCTGTCACACGCCCCTCAGTGGAGACCTGGCCTGCAACCCAGGCATGTGCCCTGACTGAGAATTGAACCAGTGACCCCTTTCTTTCTCAGTCTGGCTCTCAATCCACTGAGCCACACTAGCCAGGGCTTGCAATGGACGTTTTAATAAGTTTTATAGGAAGTGTAACTCTTACTGTTTAATTGTGCTTTTATTTGCTGTTAATTTCTGATTTCAACTTTCCACTGTTACAAGCAGCACAGAGCAGCCCTGACTGGTGTGGCTCAGTGGACTGAGTGCCGACCTTTGAAACAAAGGTCACCGGTTAGATTCCCAGTCAGGGCACATGCCTGGGTTGCGGGTTAAATGTGCAAGAGGCAACCGGTCAATGTATCTCTCACACATCGAAGTTTCTCTCCCTCCCTCCTTTCCCCTCTCTCTAAAAAGAAATAAAAACGAAAAGAAAAACGAGAGCGAAATAGGAATTTGGATGAATTGATTTCAAAAACTAAAAGAAAAAAACAATCAGGAAAAGTAATTAAAAGTTTTTAGGTGGTATGAATCAGGAACTAATATTAATTTCCTTCACATTGCCATTGGGAACACTTTTTGAACTGAATTGCTGAAGTCAGTTCGAAGTTTCCAGAAGTTTCCTCCCAGGAGATGCACAGGTGTGTGTGAGTGGTGGGGGGAGGCGGCGGTTAAGTCCTCGCTGAGAACAGAAAGAATCTGTTCTTTCAGCAGCTGGAAGAGCAGATGGACAGTGTCCACAGGATGAAAGCCACCTGGATGGGGACAGGGGCGCCCTGGGAGCAGAGCTGGGAAGACCCCTTCCCGAGTGGAAATTTCTATGTTCCAACACTTCAGAACAGGTTTAAGAAATATAATGTCCCTCAGAGACGCCCATCAGCTATTCCATGCCAGAAATGTCCCCGAAGGTCCTCAGCATTGCCCTCCTTTTGTGAAAACCTAACAAAACCTAGGTTTCCAGGGGACTTGTCAGAGGGCTGGGCCCCCCACCTAGTTTGTAGGAGGGCGCTGCCCTCCAGTGGCCACTGTGAGGATGGCAGGGCCTGTGCCCACTGGGGCCAGATCCATCCATCACCCCTCCCATTTTCACATCAGTGAACTGAGTTGCACACAGGAGGACCTATAAAGGTCTCCCGACCAGTTACAGCCATGTCAGGGACAAAGAGCAATGTGTGTGTCCCTGGACTGGTCTTTCTCAGACAGTAAGGCCTGGGATTACACTGGGCTATAGTCCCTCTGGCCTCCATGTCCTGCTTTTGGAAATTCAAAGCACCGTTACACCTGGGTCATAAATCCTACCCCTTCCTATCCTCCCTCATGTTACCAGGGGCCTGAACCCCGCACCCCCAGCTGAATGGACATGTCGGCCACTCATGTGCCCAGCAAACATCTGGGAGCCCAGCAAACATCTGAGTGCAGAGGGGACCGGGACTGGCCCCGGCAACCCTGAACTGCACACAGTGGGCGTTGTGGGAGAGGACACCAAGTTCCTGCAGGAACAGCTGCTGTGCAGACAGAAGGAGGCAGGTGTGGGGAGAAGCAGAGGAGACTCGGGCCACAGACAGGGGGTCCGTGGGGCCGAGGCAGACAGGCGATGAGGGCTGGTGACCGCTGCCCAGGGTACCCAGAGAAATGCCCACTGGCCTTGATCGAGCAGATTTCGTTGCCTTTCTGCTCTTCACAAACACAAAGTCTGAATAAGACACAACACACCTTTTACTTTGAGCCTCAGAAGCAAGCAGAGAGGCTGGGGGCCCGGTGTCGTCAGCACCCGGTTACAGCTGAGCAAACTGACCAGAGATGCACCCCGACCCCCAGCCTCTGGTGGGGGGGTGTGGACACTCAACTCCAAATGCTGTGCTCCAACCACCTGTTCCTAGGGACTGGCCTAGGGGACAAGTCAGCAGGGGCATCTCCAGGTGCATGTCCCTGGATGGAGCCTCTGCTCCACAAAGGAAGACATTTGGGCTGCACAGTGGGGTGTTGGGACCCCAGCATCGTCCACATGCCCTGTCGGCCTGCTCAAGGGTTGCC